TGAAGCCCGCCCCACGGAGGCTGCTGTCCGCCCCCGACCCCGACGCCTGGCCGCCCGCCGCCGACCCAAACGCCTCGCCGCCCGCCGACGACCCTGGCGCCGCGACTCCCCCCCCTCACGAGCATGCGCCCATTCTTGTCCTCCAAGTCGCCGTCGGCGCCGTCGTCGATGGATATCTGCTCGCCTTGCGCCGGCGCGGCGAGGGATGCGCAGACGGCCGCCTTCTCGTCCGCGTCGACAGGCGACAGCGGGCCGCCGCAACCCATCATCAAGCGCCGCGGCTTCTTGGTCGGCGGAAGGGGGCGACAAATCCTCGAACGCCCCGCGGCGCACCATGGCGGGGCCCTGGAAAATCGCGACCTGCTCGGCGTGGTCCTCGGCGGGCAACTCGCCGTGACACCCGCCAATCGGAGGCTGCGCTGCGATCGAGAAAGGCGGCCGCGAGGCGCGGAGGGACGAGGGCCCCTCCACAGCTGCGCCCATGTCGCCGCCGCGTCCGAACACATCCTCCTCGCCCGCATCCACGGCCGCGCCCGTGTCGCCGCCGTGTCCGAACATATCCTCCTCGTCCGCATCGCCCTGGAAGTCGCGCGGCGACGGAAGGCCCTTCCCCGCGCCCGCGGCATCGACTGCCCCGACGCACCCGCTTGCTGCTGCATCGGAGCCAGACGCCGCAGCGGCCGCGGGCGGGGCTCTCGCCCTGGCCGCGTCCTGCGCGAAGCCCGAGACGCCGCCGACTACTGACTCCACGCGGCTGGGGCCGTCGCCGAACATGGGGGCAGCGCGCGCCGCGGCCACCGCGGGCGCGCCCTGGCCGTCCACCAAGTTCTGCACGTAGCCGATGGACCACTGCATCTTCTCTTCGAAATCCGCAGGCATGGGGCGGAACGCGGGGGACGTGTGGACGCGCACGTTGGCGTTGGACAGGTCGGGGGACGCGGGGTCCGGCCACTCCATGCACTCGGCGCCCGCGTCTAAATCAGCGGAGGCAACGCGCCAATGCACGCCCGTGTCTGTGGCCACAACGACGTTCGCCCTGCCGAAGATCGCATTGCAATCCTCCACGGTGTCCGCCGCCTCGAGCGACGGCGCGATGATTTGCTTGAGGGTCCAAGCTGTACTTGCCGTGCGTCGCGGCTGCCAGCGCCGCCCGCTCTGCCTCCCTGTCGTAGGGGTCGGCAACGGCCTGCCTGGGCGACTTCTGTTCACAGGCACAGCCGCCCCACCGAGCCCACAACAAGGCACCCTCCTCCTTGGGGTTGAGGAACGCCTGCAAGACGTCCGCGGAAACCTTCTGAAGGAGCCCGTCGTCGAAGATGCCGGGCAAGACCTTGGTCGCCGGCTCGGCCTTGAAGAAGCCCACGTGCTTTACCATCGCGAAACCGACCTCGGCGTCAGAGCCCGCCCTCTGGATGTTGAAGGCGGAGTGTAAGAAAGCCAGCGTCTTCGAACTGCTGCTCTTGCCGACCCTGGACTTGCCGCGCCAGGGGATCCCATGCGTGTGGAGGTTGCCTACCATGAGCTTCAGCACGCTGTTCAGAAACCAAGGGGCGAAATCCTTCAAGGTCAGGGCCCAGCGCGCGATGGGCTTCGCGCGGGCCCTGCCCTCCTGGTAGTTCCTCAACGCCGTCTCCACCTCGGCAGCGGGCCAGCCGAAAATATTAGACCCCTCCGTGTTCACCCACGTATCCGTCCACTCCATGAACTGGTTGCGGTGGTTGGAGCGCTGGCCTTCTTCGCGGACGAACTTGTAGCCCGCGGCGCGCTCGTCTTCCGCCAGTGGCTGCTTGCGCTCGTTATGCGGCTTCAGCGCGGAGTATCTGAGCTGGAACACTTCCAGCTTCTCCAGCATAAGTTGAAAAGCGGCGGAGCCCAACCTGCAGTTGCTACCGTAGTCGATATTGTGCGCCTCGCCGCTCGCAAACTTCAATATGCTCTGGGCGTCCACCCTGTTCTTTTCGAAGCTGATCACCTTTAAGATGCGGTGCTTCGAGCAATCGTCGTCCTCGGGTTCTGACGCGTAATGAATATCTGCATGGTGCATGGGACGACTGGCTCGCGGTTGAAACACAGAGGAGCCTTCAAGTCTTTATGCCGACCCTTGGCAGCAGAACTCGCGAATCTGCGCGAAAGCGAAAGCCCCCTCTAAACTCGAGACCGCGTGCGCGAAAGCCACGAGCTTCGTGAAGCTACTGCGCGAGATCGGAACCAGGGGAAGATCGAATATGGCAAGGTCACCTGCAATGTGCAGCCTGTCCTCATTGACAACTTTCTGGGGGTGGTAATCCATTTTGCACCCGCTCACCATGAGGAACGCCTCCTCGAATGTGAGCTTCGCGTCGCCCACGGCGTCGTACGCGACCTCGCCCAGCGTGGCCACGCTAGCGGCGGGGGCGCTCGCCATGCCAGGCCGTGGAAGCACGGGCAGCGGCGCGGACTGGATTGCAAGAGGGCGCGGCGCGTTCTCGGGCCAGAACAGCTGCGGTCCACGCGCAAATAAATGTTCAACGAATTCGGTCGCAAGGGTCTCAAGGCGAACTGCGGCGACCATTGTGTTTCTCCTCTGCTTTATCTCGGCAGGACACGGCTCGCGCCAACTGTGCAATGGCGGTCGCAGCCCGCGCCGCCTGCACCCAGGCGGGCCGCGTGAGATCAAACGCGCGCCCAGTTGCTAAGGGTCGCCGCTGCGGCGGGCCAGGCGGGCACGGGCGCGCCTCGCACGGCCGCAGCCCGAACGATGGCCCGACGTGTTCGCGGTTGCTGGGCTGGTGCGCGGCCCACCCCGAGCCCGCCTGAAATACCATTGTTCGGTGCGGGGGCAAGCCCAACGGTAGCGTTTCGGTAGCCCTTCGGTAGCCTCAGGTAGCCATCGGTCGCGTTTCGGCGGTTCTTCAGAAGTTTTTCGGTAGCCGGTCGGCCGCCGTGAGGCCCCCAATACGCCCCCAGGAAGCATCAAAACTGCATCTGCGCCATTTCCTTATTATTTTCCTCCTCCCTCCCCTCTTCCTCGTCCTCCTCCTCCTCCTCCTCCTCTTTCTCCTCCTCCTCCTCCTCCTCCTCCTCCTCCTGTTGGTGGGGTTACGCGAAATGGCTGTAATATAAAAAACAAACACACACAAGGAGAGGGAAAGGAAAAGGAAAAGGGAAAGGAAAAGGAAAAGGGAAGGGAAAGGGAAAAGGGAAAAGGAAAGGGTAATTGAAAGGGAAAGGGAAAAGGGAAGGGAAAAGGGAAAAGGGAAAGAGAGAGGGAAAGGGAAAGGGAAAGGGAAAGGGAAAGGAAAAGAAAAAGGAAAAGGAAAAGGGAAAGGGCAAGGGCAAGGGCAAGGGCAAGGGCAAGGGCAAGGGCAAGGGCAAGGGAATGGGACAGGGACAGGGACAGGGACAGGGAAAGGGAAAGGGAAAGGGAAAGGGAAAAGGGGTCCTCCTCCTCCTCCTCCTCCTCCTCCTCCTCCTCCTCCTCCTCTGCGCCATTCGCAGCTGGAGGCTCGACCTCCAGAAACCATTGGACAAAACCCTAAAAACCTAAAACACCTGAAGAACCTATTTTCGAACGAATCTGCCAGGTCCGAGGCCGCTTCCTGAAGTTCTCCCGAAAAATAGTTTTTTTTTTTTTTAAATGTGTTCTAGGTTTTCCTGCGGCTCCCGCTTGAGGACTGCTGGAAGCGCTCTCCGACGCCCAAGTTGGAAAACGCTGAAAACGCCCAGGCCTACATCCAGCCTGGCGCCCCTCCCGAACCTCCTCCTCCTCCTCCTCCTCCTCCTTTTCCTCCTCCTCCTCCTCCTCCTCCTCCTTTTCCTTTTCCTCCTCCTCCTCCTCCTCCTCCTCCTCCTCCTCCTCCTCCTCCTCCCCTTCCTCCCTCGATGGGGGTCCGGGGAGCTCCCCCAGCACGGCCCCAGGGCGTCCGATCGAGAACCTCGCCGCGCCGCGCCGCTGGGCCGCCGAGGCCGCGGCCTGCCGCCGCCGCCGCCTTCGAGGCCTCCTGGATGGGGTCCGAGCAGGTGGGGGCGACGGATCGTGCCGCGTCGCCCATGCATCGCGCGAGGCCGGCGCGGGCTCCACATCGAGCCGCATCGTCTAGACGAGCGTGTTCACCTACTCGCAGAAGGAATTGCTCGCAAGTGGCCTGGATCCGCCGCGGGGATCTACGATCTATTACGCCGAGGTGAACATTCGCTTTTCGGATGCTTGCGCGTAAGCGCTTTGCGAGCAGTGGAACGCGCTCGGTGGTCGTCGATGCCTCGGCGATGCGGCGCGGTCCTCCGACCCCACCCTATAACCGCCCTGTTATATCCGCCCTGGCTGCAGGGTCCCCCCAACACCCCTCTCGTGCACTTCTCGCGCCCCTCTCGTGCCCCCTTCTGGGCCCCAAGGGGGCTCCCTTCTGGGCCCCTTGAATGCACCCTCTTTACGCCACCCCTCAATTGATCGCCCCCCCTCTGCCACTGGGCCTCTTTGCACCCCTTTGAGGCAGCGCCGACCCCGGCGGCGGAGGAGGAGGTCGAGGAGGGGGACGGGGAGGAGATGGAAGAGGAGGAAGAGGAGGAGGAGGAGGAGGAGGAGGAGGAGGAGGAGGAGGAGGAGGAGGAGGAGGAGGAGGAGGAGGAGGAGGCGGAGAGGAGGAGGAGGAGAAAAAGGAGGAGGAGGAGGAGGAGGAGGAGGAGGAGGGGAAGGAGATGGAAGAGGAGAGCAGGAGGAGGGAGGACATGAGGAGGGGGGGGGAGGAGGAGGAGGAGGAGGAGGAGGAGGAGGAGGAGGAGGAGGTGGGGAGGGGGAGGGGGGAGGGGGGAGGAGGAGGAGGGGGTGGAGGAGGAGGGAGGAGGGAGGTGGAGGAGGAGGGGTGGAGGAGGAGGAGAAGGAGGAGGAGGGAGGAGGAGGAGGAGGGGGAGGAGGAGGAGGAGGAGGAGGAGGAGGAGGAGGAGGAGGATCAGGAGGACGGGTCGCCGCAGCCCTTCGGAGAAACCCTCCAACCCCACCTGCTCGGATCCAGTCCGAGGGAGGCCCAGGCCGCCTGCGCTGGCGCGGGCGCCGCGCCCGCCCCAGGCGCCGCGCGGCTGGAGCTGGGCTCCTCTGCGTGGGGCGGGCCGGCCCCCCCCCCCCCCCCCCCCATGATGGGCCGGTGATAAGTAGGAGAGGGAGGAGGAGGAGGCGGAGGAGGAGGAGGAGGAGGAGGAGGAGGTGGTGGACGGCCATCAAAGCGGGTTCAAAGTCAGAAGAGCTCGCCGTCGGAGGCCCCAGAATCGTTGTCTGATCCGTCCACGGCCCGACGCTGCCCGAGTTCCTTCACCCTCGGCAGCTCAGACTCCAGAATCCCAAAGGCCGCAAGGACAGATGCTTGCGAGGGCAGTCCTGGGCAGAAACCTTCAACAGCAGCCGGACCCGAGCTCGCCGCCGCTGCTTCACACGAATCCTCTAATCCCTCGATCTCGACATGTTCCTGAAAGCTCAACGGGCCAGAAGGACCGAGCACGAGGGATTTCGTGGTGGCACGGTGGTGTGGGTGCTTTCCCGCTCGGATACGAGTCAGCTGGGACCTGATCCCTGGGCTAGCGGGCTTCCCGAGACAACGCTCCAGGAGGGTGTGGCCCAGACGCCCCGAGGTAAAGCCCCCACGCCGACAACAGAAAACCACACTGTTGCCTACTTTCGAAGGCGTCTCAATCGAACATCGGACGAGCGGGTGCCGCCTGAAGTAGAACGCATAACGGGCCTCGTCGGCCCAGCTCGGATCAACTCCTTCCTCCGCTCCAACGACACTCGACGACGAGACGACCTCCTCCTCCTCCTCCTCAGCGGGGTCGGCTGGGGGCTCCGCTGGCAGGTCCTGGTCGTGAAGCTGCAGCCCGACCGTGTCCTGCCTGCTCTGGCCGCTGGTGGCCATCAAAACCTCCAGCCTACCCGCCCACCTCCCCTGCTCAGCCACAAGGGCCTTAAATCCCCTAAAGAGTTCAGCATGGGAGTCGTCCGCTCCATGCATCTTTGCACCTAGCTTGGCATACTGATCAACACTAGCATTGGCCTTTTTCTCCCAGACCGAAGTACGACCAGCTTCAACGTCCTTGCTAGTGGCATGGGCCAGGGTCTTATGGGCCTGGATGTCGCGCCCCTCGAAGGCAGCCCAGAACGGGCTTCACATATGGCCCCTCGGGGACCTCGCTTCCGCCCCTGACCCTGGACCTCCGAGCAGAACATATAGAATGGCCTTGCAATCCAGATAAAGATCGAACGGAGCTATGCCAACTTGCGTGAGCATGTCAATCGCGAAACCCTCGCCATCTTTAGCCGTTTGGCGAGGGCCGAAACTGAGCGGCACAGGGCCGTAAGCAGCATGCAGCACGTTTCCCAAGGGATCCACTTACACGAGAGCCCAGCCTGCTCTGCAGACTCCTGGAAGAGAGGGCCACAAGGCCGAACCGTCACTGAAGATGCACCCCGTGAGGAACCCACTGGCAGGCTTGTTCACCCACCTGATCGTGGAATCAGGCTCCTCTCGAGGGACGAAGGCCAGGGGACTGGGCATCACACACCTCGCGAACCGCTCGCCCACGTCCTCCCCACAATCCAAGGCACGACGGGCGCGAGCAGCAAGCCAAGGGGAGACTGCATCCCTTTTGACACTGCTGTACGCAACACAACCGTACTGCCTATGCCACAGCGTCCCCCTGGCCTCTTTACAAAGTTGGCAGACATCGGAGCTGTGCAGCCCGTGGCCACACACTCGGGCCTGCGGCCAGTGCACATTGCACACAAGCGAGCTTAGCGCACACTGGTGGTGGGCCGTCCAGATTTTGGTTTTACCCCTGAGGAGCGATCCCAGGCCGGCCCAAAAAATCGGAACCCACACCATCGAGCCCTCGAGGGCCTTCGCTCCCGAGGCGCCCCACGCTTTCCAAAGCAAGCCTGTCAAAGGCTCTGGAGGCTCCTTCGTGCACCAGTTCCCTGATCTCACAGGGCGAGAGCTGGCAAAGGTTCCAAACTGAACCTAAATCGTCACGGAGCCTGGTGCTCGTTAAAAACCTCCAGCCGATCCTGTCCAGGGAAAGGAAAGCCACATCAGCGGGCGACGAGGCCGCCCTCCAAGGGTGACGGGGGAGGAGGAGGAGGAGGAGGAGGAGGAGGAAGAGGAGGAGGAGGAGGAAGAGGAGGAGGAGGCGGAGGAGGCGGAGGAGGAGGCGGAGGCGGAGGAGGAGCTCCCAATCCTCCCTTCTCCCCCATCCTGCATACTTCAGTGGTGGTAGAAGATTGGCTCCCGTGCTCGGGGCGGGCTGGGCCCCCCCCCCTTCCCCCCCCCACCGGGCGGGCATAATTGGCAGCGGCAGGCTCGTGCCGCGGCGGCTCCGTTGCGACCGCTTGCGTGCCGGAGGGCCCTCGCCGCCATGGCTGGGCGCTCGTCTTGTGAATGCCATGGCAGTGGGCGCCCTGGCGCCAGAGGTGAGAGGAGGGGAGCAGCGCGAGGATCGAGGACCTCTGAAAGCTGAGGCCTCCTCCTCCCCTTCCCTTTCCCTCCTCGACGCCTCCGTGCCGAGGGCTATGGAGCCTCCACGAGAAAGAACAAAAAACAATCACGACCCCAACCTGGTCTGCTCCAGGTGAGGGGCGGAAGCGCTAGCTTTTGACTGAGGAAATTTGGTAATTGGCGCCTTGCTTTACTCGACGCGTCGGATGTCTGGGAGGTCGTCGTTGGTCATCGTTTGTGGTCGTCGTGTTCGCGGTCGTAGTCGGTGTAGCCGTTCGTCGTTATGATGGTCCGTCGTCGTCGTCGTCGTCGTCGTCGTCGTCGTCGTCGTCAATTGTCAGTCGCCGTCTTTCGTCGATGGCCCCGGCTTCTTCGAGGCGCCAGACGCATGGGATTTCTTCACAGGCGGCCGACGGATATCGCAGCGCCAAGGCGAGGACGAGGACCATCCGAGGGCATGGACGACGACGGACGAGACGAGGGGACCTCGTCATCAGACAGTGGACGTAGACGAACCATATCCGCATACACATCAACTTTCGGAGCTCCGCGCGAACTCCCCGAATTGGTTTCAGCGGCGCCGCCAGGGGCCCAGCGACTAACCGACAAATCCGCGCCGACCTCAGCAAAGTCTTGTGTGCATACCCATCGGTCGGAAGAAGTATAAAGAACCATGAAGTAGAAGGCGTTGAAACAAAAATTGGGTGGAAATAGGAGGGCGTTGAGGGTGGATTGGGTGTCCGCCCGCCCCCCAGGGAGGACGGAAAAGGGGAAGCCACTCGATCATAGAGTAGGTTGGAATCTGGTTGGGGGGCGGAAAGATGCGGATACGTGTTGTCCCCGGACCTCTCTTGGGGTGCGTTCTGACCAGAATTTCGAGGCGAATCCAGCGGTGACAACGAGGATTCCCCAGGAGGACCAGGAAAGGCCGAAAACGAAGGGGGACAACACGTATCAGCATCTTTTTCTCACCCGATCTGGGAATCCACAAGTACCTGGTCTCAACGACCGATGGGTGTTTCTTATTCGCCTCGAAGGGAACGGTCGTACGGCGACGAACCTCCAGCGCCAGAGGAGACCCCCCCTGGCGACTCTCCTCCGCGCGCGCTCCGCGCGCGCTGGAGAGCGGGGCCCGGCGCCGACCCCCCGGTGGAAACCCACCCGCGCGGAGCTCCGGACGTCTGCGCGTCTTTCTGTTCCTCGAGCGAAGCGACCTCGTCGTCCGCGCGGCTCAGAGCTCGGACCCCCCGAGGCCATCTGGAGCCCCGAGGGAGAGGGGCCTCGACGATAGAACTTGCTCTTCTCCTGGAACGCCTCTCCATCCTTGCAGGGAAAGTCCTGGGGGCCTCGCGCGGCAACTTGAGACCCGATGTCCGTCGGGTTCACGTCGGACTGCGTCGGATTTACGTCGGACTGACTCTGGAGCATCGCCGCGCCAGCGTCGACCCATAGCTTACGAAACTGACAAGTGGACTGGATCATTCTACTATTACGCGCCGCGCGAGGCCTCCAAGAATTTCCCCATAACCATCCTCAGGGCCCCGTGTCCCCTGAGGTCTGGCGGTGCGATAAGAGCTGCAGCATCGATAAAGATCACGACAGGAGCCCCAGACCCCATGCTTCTGCCACATTTTTCAAACCGCATCGCACTGCGAGGGCCCTGGGCACCGAAATAGTGCAAGAACGCCCGAAGTGGAACAGCAGTGCAACGCTAGGATCTCAGGGTGCAGCAGCTGAGCCACGGTGACAGTGGGGAAACCAAGAAGTGCCGATGCCGCAGCTTCCCAGACTCCTCTCAGGGTGCGTTCTGACCAGGGTTTCGAGGCGAATCCAGCCGTGGCGACGAGGGCCTCCCAGTAGGCCCCAAAAGGCGAAACCGAGGCTACGGCTGCGGAATCGGTACCCTTCCCTCATCTGATGAACCATCGAGGCTGTCCTGTCGCAGGACGGTCTCGCCCGTTCCTCCTGAACGAAACGAAGACGCTGGCGCGCAATAGGAGAGGGTGGGATGAGAGAGGAGGAGGAAACGGAACTGGACCGGAGGGGACCTGCAGAAGGGGGGGGACATGGAGCTTGAACCAGCGATACATCGCCGATAAATCGGCGACAGGCCCCCGACAGCGAATCCGTACCTTCTTGAGCGGAGTGGGACATCAAGCCCCTGTCGGCGATGAACGAGCGATTTGGGGTTTGTACATCCTCCCCCTGAGCCCATCCCCATTATCGGTACCCCTGGTCCGAATGGTTTTCGGGTCGAAGCTCGGCTCCCTGGCGGCCGTTCGGGACGATCTCAGGACCCCCCGAACGCCCTCGGCGAGGCGCAGCTGCTTCAAGACATCCCGAGGCTGGACAGCTGACGGGAACCAACGAATAAGTATGAAAATTCCGAACCCCGATACCGAAACAACGTCGCCCATGAAGGGCCCCCTCTTTCAGAGCCCTCATTCGCCTGTTGTTTGCGTCAAACTTCTGGGGGTCAGAGTTGGCAAGGGTTAGGTCGGGCATGTCCCCCTACAGGCGGATGTTGTTCGACTTTTTTTCAAAAGAATGCGAAAACCAAATCACACATGATCCAGGCATTCCAGAGGAATTGCCCAGGAATTCCCAGATTAACAAATACTGTCCCGAACGGGGAACATGCAAAGCATTGATGTTGGCCCCCTGAACCGCCGAACGCAGGCGTCCGGCCTAATCTGGCTTAGCAGCCCTTTTCATCCGTCTCGACAGCCCCAGAAGATATCCTCCTGAGAGCCGCCTCCAAAACAGTATGTGTCATTCTGCGTTCCGCCCTTGTGTTTTATGTGTTTCGTTTCTCTCTCTCTCTCTCTCTCTCCTTCTCTCCTTTTCCACCTTCTTTCCTTCTCTCCTTTTCTCCTCATCTCTCTCTCTCTCTCTCTCGCATCGGGGCCAAACATAAGTATCTTTCGCTGGCCGGCCTGTAGTTTTTGATGCATTGGCCCTCACGCCCAACTTATCGCTTGTCACGATGAAGCCGATATCTGCGCGAGGCGACGCCAACTGTGCGAATCGACCGAGCTTGCGATTTGAAGAAACGCCAAGCACGGCGCCGCATCTTGCGATGGCCACGCTCGCTTGGTCCACGCGTTCCAAGGAGGCAGTAGGCAACGAAACGAAGAGAGCGCCGCGTAATGATTCAAGTCAACGTCTACGATCGACACCCAAACCACCAGTGACAGATACACATCTCTGGTCCCGATCGCACCCATCCGCCCGCCCGCCCGCCCGCCGCGGAGGCCTTGCTGCCTCCTCGCAGCGACGGTCGGGCCGGGCGAAAGGGAGGGATAGCAAAAGGGGGGTTTGAGAATCAGCTAAAGTAGCTGATTTTTCCGGCGCCTCCCAGCGCCGGAGGCGCCCATGTATCGAGGAATGGGCCCCTCGGTGAGGCCGAAACCAGCTGCATGCAGCAAATCCCACCAGCCCTTTAGGGCGTCGGTGGTTTAACGAGTTTCCTCTTCCACCCCTCCTTCTTCCCCTTCGGGGAGGGGTTTTCCCCTCCCCCTACCCCCTCCCCACTGACCTGGACAGGAGGGGCGGGGAGCGGTCAGAGCGTCCAAAACGGCCTCGCCGAGGAAGCCAAAATCATTGATTTTACTGAGGTTTTGGCCCCATTTTGGCCTTCTGAGGGGGCAGCGCTAATTGCCCCATTTTGGCCTTCTGAGGGGGCAAAACTCTCCTCTTCTTTGAAGCCAATATCATTGATTTTACTAAGGTTTTGGCCCCATTTCTGCCTTCTGAGGGGGCAGCGCTAATTAAAGCTCCCCTCTTCTTTGATCGATTTCCTCCAAGATGGCCCCAAGAAGCGCCCAGGAGGCACCAAGAGGCCCCAAGATGGCCCCAAGATGGCCCCAAGAGGCCCCCAGGAGGCCCCCAAGGGGATCCCAAACGGCCCAAAGAGATGCCCCCCCGAGGCACCCAAGACGCCGAAGAGCCCCTCAGGACGACCCTCTGCTCGCCTGGGCGTCGCTTCTGGACGGGCTGGTGGGGATACGCGAAGCGTCTAGAATTTCGTACGGCAGGTTCGTGTCGTGCCGACCCCAGCGTTGGTTTTTGACACCGCAGGGATCGTTCAACCTTGAACGATCGGCCGCTGCCGCAACGTCCGATCGTTCCACATCGATCGATTCTGGGTCGCCGGGGGCGTTCAACCTTGAACGTCCGCGCTGGGGTCGCCGCTGGTCGACACGACGCAAACCTACCGTACGCGAAGCGTCTAGAATTTCGTACCCCCCCCCTTTCCCAATCCCCCCCTTTCTCGGGTCGGGCGAAAGGGGGGGATAGCAAAGGGGGGGGTTGAGAATCAGCTCACGTAGCTGATTTTCCCGGCGCCTCCCGGCGCCGGAGGCGGCTATGTATCGAGGAATGGGCATGCATGTGAGGCGAAATCCCCCTCGGTGAGGCCGAAACCAGCTGCATGCAGCAAATTTCGTAACCCCCCCTTTCCCAATCCCCCCCTTTCGCCCGACCCGACTTTCGTCCAGCCCCCCCCCTCCCGACACGCCGCGGCTCCTTGGCCTCGCCTGTCCTGGCGGGGCCGGGCGCCCAGACGCCGGGCGGCGCGCACAGCACCGCGCTGGCGCGGTGCTCGGGCGGCTCCTCTTCGGAGGGGGGGGGGGAGAGGAGGAGGAGGAGGAGGAGGAGGAGGAGGAGGAGGAGGAGGATATGGAGGAGGAGGAGGAGGAGGAGGAGATAGAGAGGAGGAGGAGGAGGAGGAGGAGGAGGAGGAGGAGGAGGAGGAGGAGGAGGAGGAGTAAGAAGAAGAGGGGGAGATCACGAGCGGCGAACACATCCGCGTCCGCATCCGCACCCTCGCTGTCTGGCTTCCAGGGCGGGCTCGCGCGCGGGGGCGCGGTCGCAGGGGTGCGCCCCTCGGTGCCTCCGGGGGGGAAAAAAAAAAACGCCCCGTTTGGGCGGGGTCGCGGCCCAGAGGCCTGGCCCCCCACGAGAAAGGCTGCGAGCCACGCGAGGCCACCCGAGAAGCCCCGACGAGGGGAAAGACGAATAGAACCCGCTTGCCGCAGTTTGGGCCCTGACTGCCGGCGGGTGGCATCCTCGCAGTGGCAGCACGGGCGGTGGGCAACTGTCGGGCGCGCGGACTACTTCGGAAAGGGGAGGGGTACGGGGGACATCTGGGACTACTTGGGGGACCGTTCTCGTGGGTTCGTTGATCAGTTGAAGTTGAATGGTTTGTTTGGTTCTTTGCCTTGTCATCTTTGAACATGGTTTTCGATCGCATTTCTTGATTATACGTATCGCCGCTCTTGTTCGCTATCTTCCCAATTTTCGTTATTTGTTTTTTTGTTATTTGCTTGCTTCTCTTTCTCTCTCTCTCTCTCTCTTTCTCTCTCTTTCTCTCTGTAGACCGCCACACTAGGATGTCTTGCATGAAGACCCCCCCAAAAAGATAAATTTTGCAAGGCCCCCACAAAATAATCCTTTCGCAAGGGCGCCTCAGAAGGAATCCTTTTGTGAGGCCCCCACCGCCACAACAGGATGTCTTGCATGAAGCGCCCCAAAAAGAAGATCAATTTTGCAAGGCCCCCACAAAAGAATCCTTTCGCAAGGCCGCCTCAGAAGAAATGAATCCTTGTGTAAGACCGCCGCAGAAAGAATATTTTCGCAAAGCCGCCTCAGAAAGAATTCTTCTGTAAGGCCGCCACAACATGAATCCTTGTGTAAGGCCCCGACAGAAAGGAATCGAATCCTTCTGGTAAGGTCGCCACAAAAGAAATCCTTTGCACGGGCGTCAAATGATGTTCGGGACCCCCCCCCAAGGACAGCAAAGGAAGACAATGAAAGACGAGGGAAACAAGGAGAGCACAACAAGAGAAACTGAACAATTAAAACGTAGTGTGTTTCATTATTTTCAATTGCGTTTGTTGATGTGTGCTCTATGACATGTGTTTTCTTTATCCTTCAACTGAATTGCATTGTCTTCTTACCTTTTCATCACTTGTCTCTGTGCGCTTGTTATGTTTCATATGTGTACGATGATGTATATTATTTGTTCTCGCTGTGTTTACAGTGGCTGTTTGTCTTCACTGTTATTCTGTGCTGCCAGTATTCTTATGGCTTGTCATAGTTTCCTGGTTTCTGTAGGGGCTACAACAAGTTGTCAGGGCGCCACACAAGGAATGATTTTGCAAGGCCGCGACCATAAGAATAGTTGTGTAAGCGCGCCACAACAGAAATCCTTTGGTAAGAACACCACATCCGAAATCTGATGTAAGGCTGTGAAATGGTTTTCCGCCCCCCCCCCCCCCCAAGGGAAACAACGGAAACCAGTGAAACGCGAAGACACCTATGGAGCCACATCGAAAAGCACTGAACACGAGGAAAACGAGTGGGCCCGAAATAGATGTTCAATGATTGTGTTTGTTGCTTGTTGTGTGTGCATGTGGCAGCATGTGGTTGCTGTAAGTCAAAACTGCAGTTGCTGCGTTTTCACTCTGTCAGTGTTTTCTCGTGCTGTCATAGATGTCCAATCGTTCGTAATGGTAATCACTGTGTGCCTGCAGTGCGTGATGGTTTCATTGTGTGTATGTATACTCTGTGCTTCCCATTGTTAAATAATTTTCTGGTGGGGTTACATGAATTTGCCAGAGCTAAAGGATCATGTTTTATAAGGTACCCACATAAAGAATCAGGTGTAAAGCCGCTAGAAAATCAATCCCTCAGTAAGACCGTGTGCAAGGCCGCGGCAAAAGAAAGGCAAAAACAACCATGGAAACACTGGCAATACATGAAAGTGTTGTAAACACGTAAAACACAGCAAACACAAACACAGTCGTACCAAGTAGAAGGTATTAGTCGGTTTCCTCTGGTGCTCATTGTTTTCGATGCGGTCCCGCAGTATTTTATATGTATGTTCATATGATCCACGCTGTGTGTCCGTTGTTTTCCTTGTTTTTCTGGTGTCCCACGTCTTGAGGAGGGGGTGCGGGAATTTGTCAAGGCACCACACAAGAAATCCTTGTTTAAGGCCGCCGCAAACAAAAATCCTTCTAGAATGCCTCCACCAAAAGGAATCGATCCGTAATGTCGCACACCAGGAATCCTTTTGTAAGGCCGCCACAGAAAGAAGCCTTTCGTAACGTTGGTAAATCAGAAGTCCCCCCAACGACCCTTCCTGGGGCCCCTGTGGGGCCGTCTAATAGGGCGGTCCTGGGCGACTCTTGGGCCATCTTGGGGCCCTCTGGGGCCCTCTGGGGGACCTCGTGGGCAGCTTTGGGGCTCTCCTGGGGGCCTGTGTGGCCGTCTTGGACGCTGCGCACATCAAAGCAGCGAATGTGCTACAACACGCGTTTCCCTGAAAAAAAGGATGTGGCGTTTTCTTTCCTCCTCCGACCCTCTTGAAGGTCCTCTTGGAGCCATCTTGGGGCCCTCTTGGCGCCCTCTTGGGTCCTCTCGGGGGGTCATTGGGTGCCTGCTGGCGATCTTCGGGTTCTCTTGGTGTAAAGGCCTCGAAAATTGGGCTCGAATTCACTTCCCCGTCTGTTCCCCCCCTAAGTCAATCTTTGGGCCCTTTGGGGGCCGTCTAAGGCGGTCCTGGGTGCCTCTTGGGCCGTCTTGGGGCCCTCTTGGGCCGTCTTGAAGTCCTCGGAAGGGCCTTTGGGCTGTCTTGGGGCTCTCCTGAGAACCTTTGGGGTCGTCCTGGACTCTGCGCACATGAAAACAGCGAATGTGCTACAAATGTCCGTCTTGTTTAAAAGGTGTGGGCGATATTTGCCGTCGGGCTCTCTTGAGGGTACTCTTGGAGCCGTCTTGGGGCGTCTTGGGGGCCTGATGGGCCGTCCGGAAGCCACGTTGGCCCGTTTGGAAACTGTTTATAAAGCCATCCTGGAAGCTGAGTGGGGAACGGGGAAGCTCGGGGGGAGCCCGGGAGCCCGGAGGTCCCCGGGGTGAGGGGGGCATCTCAAATGCACCTGGCGGCCTTCGGCCAGGGGGGGCCCAGGGCTAGGTTTCCGGTATATGAAAGAGCGTGCCGCGTGTATGTGTGGAAAGCACGGTCACCCCCCCCCCCTGAGCCGCTCGCTCCGTCCGCCCCCTTTCTCGGCAGCGCCTTCCCACTTTTCCCTCTTGCATGGTGGCACAATTCGCTTTGACGGCATCCCAGCTTAGCCATCCCATCGTTTAGCATCCGCGCTGGACCCCCTCTGGCGGCGCCTCCGGCGCCGCCCCTGGCGCGCTCCGCGCGCCAGGGAAGGGGGTCCAGCGCCGATCCGAGAAAACCGCGCGGACCTCCGAGTTTTTATGTTTGTCATTGTTCGTTCCCCTGGACTGCCCCCAGGAAAGGGGACGGGAGCTCTGGGGCCGCGCGTTGAAGAAGTCACACCATCGGATTCCGGTCGGGGGGAGCGCATGGCGGCTCGAGCCACGTGCTCGGGCAGGGGGGGGGGGCCCAAGGGGGGCGTCTTGTCAGGAGGGGAAGGGCCACAACATCTGGGAGCTGTCGTGGCCCTGGCCACGACACCCGCACATTCCCTGGTCCTCACCCCCATGGTGGACGCCTCCGACAAATGCAGGCCTCCGAACTAGAATAAACTGTATGAGCATACAGTGGAGGCCAGTCCACAAGAGACTTCCCACGAGAAGCCCAACCCTGAGACCCCAGGACGTCCCTTGATTTCTGCCGTTTTGGAGCGTCGCGCCTTCCATGGCGAGACCATGGAAACCCACGAAACCCAGGGCACCCTGGAGGCAAGCGGGGTGCTTCCTGGCACGGGCCCCCACTGTGGACCTTCGGAGGTCGGCACGGATCCCTTGGATCGGGGCGGAACCCCCCTGCCTGGCGCGCGGCCTGCGCCGGGGGCGGCGCCAGAGGCCAAGGAAGGGCCGCGCGCCGATCCGAGGGATCCGCGCGGGCCTCCGAAGGCTGCATCCCGCTCTCCGCACGCCGACGTGCGCGAGCGTCGGGCGCCACGGCCCCACAGATGGGGCAGGCCCAGCCGGTACGTGTAGACACCTTCCATCAGAATTCAACCACGAGGCCCCAGGACGTCCACGGATGCTTGGTGTGGGAACGTCACGCGTTCCACAGGAGCCTAAGAAACCCAGGGCGCCCTGGAGAGGCAAGCAGGGTGCCTCTTTGCATGGGCCTCCACTGCGCACTGCTGGGAGAGGGGTAGCACAACGAAAGGAAACATGCTCCTGTTCCTCTTTTTGGTGGGGTGCGGCGACGAGCACTTCCTCCTCCTCCTCCTCCTCCTCCTCCTCCTCCTCCTCCTCTGGGCTATCGGGCCCCCTTTCGGCGATGCGTGGGCGTCTGGGTGTCGACGCGTTCCCCCCTGAGCCTATCCCCCGTCTGGCTTGCGGGTCACATCTCGCCTCTCCGGCTGCGGGACAGGACGTCTCGGGCACTCCCAGGACGCTCTCGGCGACGCGCAGCTGCTGGACAGCATCCCGAAGCTGGAAGACGGGCGAGGACGTCCGAAAACCTCGAGCCACGTCGAGCCTATCCCCCGCTATCGTTGACCCTGGCTCATCCTCCACTCCTCCCCCCGCCTGCCCTCCCACCCCCCCAACCCGCCCTGCGCGCGCGACGGCCTTCCGCGGCGGCACCGAGGACGCCCCAGCGGCGCCGGCCTGCTGGGGCGCCGCAGGGGCAGCGGCGGCTACCTGAGGCCGCTGCCGCCGCAGCCCGCCGCAGCGTGCCGCCGACGTCGCTGTCGTCGTTAGCGTCGCCGTTGCCTTCGCCGCCGCCGCCGCCGCCACCGTCACCGTCGTCGTCGTCGCTGGGAGGGGCTCGGAGAATACACCACGTCGTCTGGTCGGCCACGGAGCACTGTGCGCGCACGACCCAGCTCCCCAGACTCTGGAGTGCTGGAGCGGCAATATACCGAACTAGAACCGTCGCGCGCGCTTCGCGCGCGCTCAAGTTCTAGCTAGGGTCATGCTCATCGTCATCATTGTCATCCTCATCCCCGTCATCTTCATCGCCATCGTCATGGTTACTTTCACCATCGCCATCACAACATTCCTCCTCCTTCTCCTCCTCCTCCTCCTGCTTCTCCTACTCCTCCTCCTCCTTGTCCTCCTCCTTGTCCTCCTTGTCCTCCTTGTCCTCCTCCTCCTCCTCCTCCTCCTCCTCCTCCTCCTCCTCCTCCTCCTCCCAGAGAGGCTCCCCAGGGGCCCACGACAGGCCTGTGCACAGCCTGCGGGTCCACAACAGGCCTGTGTACAGCCTGTGCACAGGCCTGTGGCAGGCCTGTGCGCCTCTGCATAAGCCAGTCGCGGAGCGCCGGCCCCCAGAGAGGCTCCACAGAGGCCCACGACAGGCCTGTGCACAGCCTGTGCACGTGCCTGTGGTAGGCCTGTACGCAGCCGCCTATGCATAGGCCTGTCGCGGAGCGCCTGCCCCTGTACGAGGACGATTCAAATACACCACCACCGCCCGAAGAAATTACGCTACCGAGGAACCCCACATACTAATCCGCCGATCCGGCGTGTGAGTTTCAAGGAGTCTCAGCTACAGCCTCGAGGCTGAGCTTCAGCCTCTGGGGGGGTCGCCGGGGTGGCTCTGCCGGGGAAGGGGGGGTGGGGGGGGGGGGGGGGGTGCGAGTTTCCGGCGAACCCCGGGGCCGCTCCGGGGGAGTGGAAGATAGGGGGGGGGGGGGCGCCATGCTCCGCTTTTTCCGGCGCTTTGGAGGAGGGGGGGGGCCCAAGAGACCCCCAAGGGGTTCCAAGAGGGCCCCGAGTCGCCGAAAAATCGCTCCAAGACGCCCGAGATGGCCTCCAGACGGCCCAAGGTGTCTCCAAGACGCCCCAAGAAGCTTCCAAGAGGCCTCCCAAGAGGGCCCCAAGAGGCCAGAATCGTTGATTTTCATTGGTTTTCTCAGGGTTTTTAGCGTTCTTGCCTTTTCGGGCGTCCGACGCTCGAAGACGGCCCAAGAGGCCCCCAAGTCCGTCCCAAGACGGCCCACGATGCTTCCAACACGGCCCAAGAGAGCCCCAAGACGGCCCAAGAGGGCCCCAAGACGGCCCAAGAGGGCCTCTGGACAGCCCAAGAAGGCCCCAAGAGAGCCCCAAGAGGGGCCCAAGAGGGGGACCACGAACCGAAAGAACCGAGCTTTCCGCCCCAAGAGGCCCCCAGGAGGCCCCAAGAGACCCCCAAGGGGCCCCAAGAAGCCCACAAGAGGCCCAAAAGAGGTTCCAAGAGGCCCCAAAACAGCTCCCCAGAGGCCTCCAGACTGCCTCCGGCAGGCCCCCGGTTTCTTCCGCGGCACCGCCCAGGGCGCCACCGGCAGGATGTCCTCCGTCTCATCGTTTTCCTTCAAGTTATCGCCTCTTCCTCATTCTCCTCCTCCTCCTCTGCGACCTCACTCCTATCCCTCAACGATCGCGTCACCGAGTGCCTCTTCTTTGAAACATCCTCGCTCTTCAAACGCACATCCATACACACATGCATACATACCTACATTTAAACACATTTGCATACATAGAAAAACAATCTTCCAGACATACATACTTACATTCACACACATACACACATATTATCATACACACATACAAACATACATACAAACTAAATACATACATACGCGCACAAGCATACATACATACATACGTACCTACACACAGGCACACATGATCAATGCATGCATACATGCATGCACGCGTACATACACACACATATATCGTGAAACTCACCGCGTGCTCGAAACTTGAGAGAGACCGCGGGAAGTCGAGAGAAGCCGCGGAACGAGGCCTCTACTACTACTACCACTACTACCACAACCACTACTACTACTACTACTACCACTACTACTACTACTACTACTACTACTGCTACTACTACTACTACTACTACTACTAATACTACTACTAGTACTACAGGAGCGTTTCCCAACTAGTATGTGTGTGTGGGTGATGCTGTGTGCGCATGTCTGCGGCGCAGGTTAAGTGGTGTGACTGTGTGTGTGCGTTTGAGTGTGCGCCCATAATTTCTGCGTCTGGAGAATAACCCCGAGCGACCCGGATCGGCGGCACTGGCCGAAGGCCACTACAATATTATGGCTGGAGTGATGATAGCTGAAGTGCATAGCGGCCACGCTGAGGGACCACCCCCTGCGCACCCCCTCTGGCGTTGAGAAAATGCCACGCCTGCTATGCACTGGACGACCGTTGTGCATAGCTGCCGCGGTGAGGGACCACCCCCTGCGCACCCCCTATGGTGTCGAGAAAATGCCACGCCTGCTATGCCCAGGACGACCGTCGTACATAGCGGCCGCGCTGAGGGACCACCCCCTGCGCATCCCGTCTGGCGTCGAGAAAGTGCCATGCCTGCTATGCACTGGACGACAGTCGTGCGTAGCGGCCGCGGTGAGGGACCACCCCCTGCGCACCCCCTATGGTGTCGAGAAAATGCCACGCCTGCTATGCCCAGGACGACCGTCGTACATAGCGGCCGCGCTGAGGACCACCCCCTGCGCACCCCCTTATGGTGTCGAGAAAATGCCACGCCTGCTATGCCCAGGACGACCGTCGTACATAGCGGCCGCGCTGAGGGACCACCCCCTGCGCATCCCGTCTGGCGTCGAGAAAATGCCACGCCTGCTACGCACTGGACGACCGTCGTGCATAGCGGCCGCGCTGAGGGACCACCCCCTGCGCACCCCCTATGGTGTCGAGAAAATGCCTCGCCTGCTATGCCCTGGACGACCGTCGTGCATAGCTGCCGCGGTGAGGGACCACCCCCTGCGCACCCCCTATGGTGTCGAGAAAGTGCCACGCCTGCTATGCCCTGGACGACCGTCGTGCATAGCGGCCGCGCTGAGGGACCACCCCCTGTGCCACCCCCTCTGGCGTCGAGAAAATGCCACGCCTGCTATGCACTGAACGACCGTCGGGCATTCGTGCATAGCGGCCGCGCTGAGGGACCACCCCTGCGCACACCGTCTGGCGTCGAGAAAGTGCCACGCCTGCGATGCCCTGGACGACCGTCGTGCATAGCGGCCGCGCTCCTGCGCAACCCCCCTGCGCACCCCGTCTGGCGTTTAGAAAGTGCCACGCCTGCTATGCACCGGACGACCGTCGTGCATAGCGGCCGCGCTGAAGGACCACCCCCCGCGCACCCCCTGTGGTGTCGAGAAAATGCCACGCCTGCTATGCCCTGGACGACCGTCGTGCATAGCGGCCGCGCTGAGGGACCACCCCCTGCGCACCCCGTCTGGCGTCGAGAAAATGACACGCCTACTATGCACTGGACGACAGTCGTGCATAGCGGCCGCGCTGAGGGACCACCCCCTGCGCTCTCCGTATGGTGTCGAGAACATGCCACGCCTGCTATGCACTGGACGACCGTCGTGCATAGCGGCCGCGGTGAGGGACCACCCCTTGCGCACCCCCTTTATGGCGTCGAGAAAATACCACGCCTGCTATGCACTGGACGACCGTCGTGCGTAACGGCCGCGCTAAGGGACCACCCCTTGCGCTGCGCTGTGACGCCTGCCGTGCCTTGCGCGCTAGCCCTGCGTGCTCTGCTGTGCTGAGCTGAACTGTGCTTTGCTGTGCCGAGCTGCGCTGTGCTGCGCTGTGCTGTGCTGCGTTGTGATGGGAGAGGGCGGAGAGGGAGGAGGAAGGTGGGGTGTGAGGGCCGCGGGTGCGACGAGGCAGGGAATGAGATGTGCTGTGCTGTGCCGTGCTGAGCTGAGCTTTGTTGTGCTGAGTTGAGCTGTGCTGAGCTGTGCTGAGCAGTGCTGTGCTGTGCTGAGCAGTGCTGTCAGGAGGAGGAAGAGGGAGGTGAGTGAGTCAGCGCGGGTGGTGAGTGAGTGAGCGCGGGTGGGATGCGGCAGAGAAGAAAACCATGACCCCACTAAGCATGTGGGGAAATAGAATCGCACAAACGCTCTGAACAAATCCCTCGTCACAAACTCCGATGCCCCAGTTGGTACATGGCAGAACAACAATGATAGACGACGACAACCACGCAATCGGCGAGCGCAGTGCAAGCCGTATCTTTCAACCGACAAACGTGGATTCAAGCACTCGGCCACGCAACGAACCATCGCCGCGCGAGTGCGCGCTCTCAGCTGCGCTGACTCGACGTGTGAACGGTCCACATCGCGCACCACGTGCGTCACCCCAACCATTACGAGACACACAGGGCCTAGTTCCGGGACTGGCAGCTACTTGCCGTCGCTCGGACGTCCATTCCCCGTGCATGTTTCGGTGTCGTGCGTGTTTTTTGTTGCCCGATGGTCCAGGATGCTCCTCGATGTTTCTCGCCGAGAACAATGCACACGTCCGAGCGATGCCAAGGCTATGCCCTTTTCCGCGCCCGCCCCTTGCGGAGCAATTCCAACCCATGCGGGGGACCGCCCATTGGCAACACAATGCGCCCCACCGCGGGCCTCGAGGGGCCAACCCCCCCGGCCGCAGGAGCCCCCCGGGCCTCCTGGGCACTCCACTGAGCCTGGGGGAGAGTCCTACCCGAAAAAATGCGAATCTTGGCGGTGTAGAAAATTTCGGTTCCCTGCTGTCGAAATTCTGTACACCACCACCGCGTGGGCACTGGGAGACGCCTGCTCTGGCCTTGTGGCGGCGGCGCTGGCCACGTTCTCGCGGGTTTCGCTCGGAAATCGCATGCTGGTCTCGTGGGGTTCGCGTGAGGCTGTCGT